TGTCGGAAGCTCCCGTCGATTTTGGGGAAGTGTAAGACGAACTGAGATGCGTTGCAAAAGAATTTTCCAGGCATGTTCAATTAACTTCAGGTCTAGAAAACGGTTTGACGGTTCCATACGCTAAGTTGTTTCACTTTCCATGTACTCGTTCACGATTCGGACTCTATGAGATCAAGCATTATCGTCCATTAAGATGAAATCCTCCGCCAGAGTACATGCAATACGTCTAACAATAGGATGAAGAATATCATTCCGGTATTTTAAACCTGTCAGGTTGCCTTCAATGATGTGCAGATCAGTTTTGCAGTCAATACTTATGCCTACCCAAATTATCAACAAACCTCCATTTACACTGTATTGCTCAGAAATGAAACAATCAGCATATCTTTCTCCATTTGCAATCCAAACAAGTCCTCTGTCATCATGGAAGTCAAAACAAAATAGCGACTCGTCTGAGAAGAGAACAGAACACCAATGACGTTTTTGCAAAATTTTGTGTTCTGTTGCCCACTGTAGTCGATTTTTGCGGCACTCTAATTTTAATGCAGGACGTACGGCTGGTCGACAATCCTTGAGATTTGCTTTCTGAAGTCTGTTTTAAACTGTTTGAGTAGACATCCGTCTGTCCGTTACTCTCTGATGCCCATTATTAAGCTTGAGAGCACTTTGAAAACAGTGCGTCTCAGTAAAATTGGCCAAATAAAGATCCTCGCGGACTGTCCTACACCGGACGTCCCGATTTTAGCTCTTTTTGACAATTTTCTGCCTGTAAATATCGGTTCCATAACCGTTAATTCCGCTTTAGAAAAGATAAGGTCTTTCTGCAACGTGAGGTTGCGTTTTGCCAGCTTCCAGCATCACAGCTACCATGGAGTGTTCGTCCATACTCATCTGCCTCCTCATAGCGTCTTATCACCAGTTCTGGCCAGATATACTGAAATTTTCTCATGTTCACTAAAGAAAATCATCTCATATATATGTTAAAAAAAATTAATTCCAAACATACCAATTGATTCAAAGATATGATATTATAATTATGGAAAATAAATTAGTAAGTATGGCAAGCTATCACGTGTTAAACAATGAATTGTAGTTTACGTTTGTTAATGAAATTTAATTAATCTACAAAATGAAAAATACATGTTGGCTGGATTTATTTTGAAATATTATATCCCATTCTTGTTCATGACGTCTCATAAAGCAACGTCAAAATATCCCAACGTTAACGTTAACTCTGCTACCTTTACATGTACAGTTATAAAAAAACATAAATATAGCTCCGTACAGGCATATATTGATAATTTCATAAAAATATACACTCTTTAAAAGAACTCAGAGGAATATTATTAATTTTGACACGGGGCCAAACTTTGCTACAAGTGAACCAGGTCCTTTCTTTGATTTTATCAAATTTGAAATCTAAATGATTAAGGTTGATTGAGTCAAAATACAAATTTAGAATGCGAAATTGAATATTCTCACTGATATCATTCACAATTGCCTATGCAGAAATAAGTTAATTACGTGAATGAGAAATTTCTATTGAAAGAACAGAGAATTAATCTATAATGTTCATTCCACATTGTGTCTATCCCTTTCACAGGATACTTGTATTTTCAGTGTAATCTATGCTAATAAACATTTACATAACCATGAAACTTATGAGACCTAAAATTTATTTATAATAAACATTGTACAATTTATGTTCAATCCTTAAACAAGTTTCAAAGGTCTCTCATACGTTTACCTGTTTATATTAAAAATAACTATTGAGAATCCGGACGTATACAACGTAGTTTGAACTTTTTTTTCTTTACCCATCGACTTGAGTTCCAATTCCGAAAGGAACTATGTGCAATATTTTAATGTCCATATATGGTGTGCTTCTGAAACAATTTTGGATAAAAGAAACGTATAATATATGTTTAGTATTTTTTGAATATATTTTTCTATTCATCATCCGATAATTGTCATCAATTGGTATCTTTCAAAAACCCTTGATAATGCATGCTGAATTTTTGTCTATGAACATCTGACGACACTATAATCTTTATCTACGAATATCTTCCAAAATCATCAGTAGGTAAGGTACGTTGCATATGTACTTAAGGTTATCGTGTTTTTGACATTGTTTTATTTACAAACCATCTTTCCATCCAAAATTGGAAATGCATCTAATTTATAAAGGAGCCATTTAATCTTAGGGGTTTATGTCAACCCAATGAAAAGTAAGCATAAGAACCGAAATTAGGTACGCATATTATTTTAAGCAATATTTGAGTGGTTAGGTATAGATAAGGTTTTGATCATCAACCTCCTTGTGTCACTCTTCTTTTTTAGTGAGTTTTAATGTACTTTTTGCATAAATAACTACTGGACTGATCATCCAAATCGTTTGTCAGTATTAAATTTTAATGCAATACGAAAATGTTAATGTCATAGGAGACGCAAGAAAGAAGAAAGAGGTGAGTTTTCATACATTGAATACTATTGGTTTTTATTTTAATTAAAGTTTAAAGTTATCTTAATTTGCCTTCTTTTAATGAAGTTTTTTTTCTTACTGGTTGTTTGACTTTCTAGTGTTTCTTATTTTTGTCAGATTTATAGTATTATATATATTTTTTTATTCATATCTAAATATGTTCCCTCAAGTGTGCAAAAGGACCAATTTGAAGACTTTAAGAAAAAAAATATATATATCTCTTTGGTTGAATGATTTACGCTGCTTTTCCTTCTCCCACTACTTTATCTTAAATTAAAACTTTTTCGACATTGATTCGACAACTTTTAATATATATACCGGTAAGTAAGCATTAGGATTTATTTTGTTATGTATTCTTACGTTTGGTTTCATTAAAGTTTGTCAATGTAGACCGGCCCCCTCCCATTTAGTCACTTTTTTCAAAAAAAAGGGAACAAAAGAGTTCAATGCGGCTTTTATTTGATGACTGAACAGCATGACAAAAACGTGTAATAATCAAATCGATAGCATGATTAATTAAGTGTATTAATTAGTGAAGTCCATTGTTTCAATCAAGTTCTAAGAATTCTGTAGGCAAACAATACACGGGTTTAGATCAAGATATTGCATATCTTGTTGAAGTTACAAAATACATTTACCGGTTGTTAACGTTGTATTGATTCATGTGTTATCAAAAACAAAATTGCCAATTTAAGGAAATGACGCAGGAAAATACTGCAATGAAACTTTCTTTCAAATTCGTTGTGTGCATTTGCAAATACTCTGATTTTATCCTACTTTTTGACTCTAATCAAGCGTACTTACTTTAGCGTGAACTTAAAAATAAATTGCAGCATTCTGCATTGCGTCGTTGCGCTGAAGAAAGAACATTCATTCTCTTTTAAAATTCACAGAGCAGGAAGTTAGACGGATGCGACTGTATAGTCTGTCAGATAAGAAATCAAGGTCATTTGAACTCTAAGAATTTCTAATGCAGCGTACAGCCGCTACTTGCTCTGCAAAAGGTGTATATTTACATATCTAAGGTATGCTTTAAAATGCAGAGGGTGCACACCAAAATGTTGTTTTTCCTCTTCAACTTTTGTTTGAGACAAAAAAAATCCAAAAGCAAATTAATCTTACATAGGTTTTATTGAGAGTACCACATAAGTGGAAATTTTAGGGAGACGCAAAGAACTGCAAACGATAGCATAATTCTCCTGCCTACCCTCAAGTCACTTTTCAAAAGTTAATATATTCGATGAATTTTTATTTTTTTTTTTTCATAGATAACAATATGGATTTTCATAACACAATACTTATTTGGGGAAAACAAAGAGAGATAACTCAAAAATTATGGTGAAACGTGTTTTTTTACTAGAGAAATCAACGGAAAACGGAAAATATTTTTAAAACACCCCCTCCCCGTGTCATAAAAATTCCTTTTTACAGGTAATATGGACTGTTATTTCACAAATTTATATCGAAGCTTTTTGTGTGACACGGGGGTGGGAGGGGGGATGGGGGAGGGGGCGAATGTTCATTGACAAATAAAAAAACAAAAATGCTTATTTCCCACCAATTCCAAAGTGATTTACAACTGAAACATTATATTTTATTAATATATTGATGTTTTATGTTTTTGCCTAAAACATAAGAAAGATATAAGAAACATTGAATCATATCCAAAACTATATCAAAATATGGTGATTCCTGAAAGTCCGATTTCAATGGAAACTTTTGTTTCCATTGATTTCATCGATTTCAATGGAAACTTTTGTCTACCCCCCCCCCCCCCCCACACACACACACACGCGAAATAAAATCACTCGCTTTTATTGTGCTGAATTCTGTGTAAAATCTCTTGATCAATCGACCACTAGCGAATTTTTATTTTCGCGATTTGACGTTAAATAGCACATTCGCGATAATAAGTACTTGCAAAAAAAAAAAATAAGGAATCTACAGTATGGCTAATTTACTATTTAGTGCTGGTATTTAGACAATTCATCAATATCAATTGAACTGTTCTTTGTACTAAACCAAGAATATATTGACAAATTTCCATTTATATTGAATTAAATGGTTGAAAAATGTAGGCGGGAATCGAGAATTAGCGTGCGTATTTCTTTGACGAGTTGTCCTTAAAGATATGTATTTTATTTTATTTTTTTATTTTTTTTTTTTAGCAAAAAGTAATTTTAGCGATTTTAAAATGCTCACTTAAGACACTTTTACAACTATAACGCAATTATTTTTTTGTGATATTTAATTTTAGCGATCTCTGCACCCTCGCTAATAATATCAAAATTAAATAATAGCTAAAACTTCTGCTCATACGGCTCATACGGTTTGTTTTAATTACTAGTACTAAGTTTTAAATCCAAATTTTCACTTTGCAGCTCTTTGTATCTTTACCTTACGAAACAGTATTGTAATCATTGCTTCATGGGCATGAAATATTTTTTCTAATAAATCAAATAGCTTTATTTAATCTTAAACTAGGGTTTCAATTTTTATGTTTATTTTCAGCTTGAAAATGGATCTTAGGCTTTTAACAGTAACAGTTTTGAGTGTTTTGATACAGATCGGGGAAAATGTGGAGCGCTGTCCATTTGAAAGAAGGTGTAGATGTTTCAACTTCTCTTATGATATCCATGCTGATTGCTCGAATCTGGACCTTAAACGGTCACCCAAATTCTGGACTAATGTAACACAAATAAATCTCAGTTATAACAATCTAACACAGCTCCCAGAGAGGGAAAAATTACCAGATAATTTAACTCTGCTGGATCTCTCCCACAACTCCATAAGTGCATTTAGAAACCTTTCATTCAAAGGACTGTACAAGCTTACAGTTTTGAAATTAAATTCAAACAAGTTTCGGTTAACTAACAAACTAAGTATGAATGTTTTTGCAGATTTGATAAACATTAAAACGTTGGACTTATCTGAAAATACAGAGTTGACTTTTCGAATTTTGCCAATTTTGACATACGGTCTTCAATTTTCAACAATTTCGACCCTTTCATTGAACAAAATCCACTGCACATTTGGACTGGGTACAGAAATTAAAAAAGATGATGTAAAATATCTAAAAAATACCAGCCTTACAGAAGTTCATTTGTCAAGCAATAGAATTGAATTATTGGAAAACGGAACTGTTGATTATCTTCCCCAAACGATTAAGAGAATATCAGTAGCTGACAACCGATTTGAATTTGGTTTATACGTCTTACAGCTTAGAGCATTAAAACATCTGGAATGGATAAACGCAAGTGAACAATATCTTTCCCACAATCCCATTGATATTCTCAAAAACAAAATATGTCGAGATGAAAGTAGAAAAGAATATTTAAACAACACCCAAGACTACTCACATGGTCGCATGCTTAAGACAATTGAGATGGCAAAGTTGTTGGTGAGATATAAAAATAAAACTGGAGGAAATTCAAGATCTAGTCAACGAAACGAATTATTAAATAGGAAAAATGAAGCCATTCGATTACCACCAAATTTAAAAACGATTTTTTACAACAAAAGTACATTGCGCTATGAGATTCCATGGATCCCAGTGCTCGAAAACAAGGTGGAGGAGTTATACATGCAGGACAACATTTTATATTCGTGGAAAGGTCCTGTACAAGGAATGAAAAGTCTTCGAATACTGAATATGTCAAACAATTTCTGCTCTTCAGTTTCCAAAAGTTTCTTTAAGTACCTCGGTAACCTCTCAGAATTATACCTAAGCGATAATTTGTTGGGTTTTAGTTTATCACCGGATACGGAAGGTGAAATATTTGCAAGTCTGACAAACTTGATTCGTTTAGAGCTGAGAGAAAACAGAATTACACATCTGCCAAATCAGATTTTTAAAGGACTTCGAAGCATAAAGGATTTAATACTGGCTGATAATACGCTTAGCACTATAGATTTTAGTATTTCGACATTAACGAACTTACAATTTCTTGATTTATCTGGAAACCAAATCCAGTTTCTTTCCGATACAAATATGAAAGATATTGACCAACAGAGAGATAAATTCGGCTTTACTTTAAATCTTTTAAGAAACCCGATTTCATGTAATTGTCACACACTATCATTTCTAAGGTGGATGGTAAACGGTCAGGAAAGTAAGAGAATCAGCTTTCAGTCATTTGAAAATTATTCCTGCGCGACTTCATCCAAGGGCAAACCATTAATGTTTTCAAAAATTAAAGGCTATATCCAAAAACTAGAAAAAGAATGTAATTCTTACACGTATTTGATCATCACTTTGTCGCTCATCATTCTCCTGTTCTTTGTCATCCTTTCGTGTGGGCTACTATACAGATACAGATGGAAACTTCGTTATTTTTACTATATGACTAAAAGTCGTTATCATGGATATAAAGCAGTGAGAAGTGATAGCCAATCAGATTTTAAGTATGATGCCTTTGTTTCCTATGCAGATGAAGATTTCCCGTTTGTTCAGAAAATGATGTTGGAATTAGAAGAAAACAATGGGATACGTTTATGTATTCACCATCGCGATTTCGTTCCAGGATATGATATATGCGAAAATATTTTCACTGCCATCAACAAAAGTAAAAAGACTATCGCTATATTGTCTCCAAGTTTCATCAAATCCAGTTGGTGTATGTATGAGCTACACATTGCAAAGATAGAGGACATCTATTCTCGAGAAAATGAAGGCGTTCTGCTGTTGGTATTTTATGATGCTGTTCCTGTAGATAAGATACCCTTGAGTATCATGGACCTTATTAATCAAAGGTCGTACATTGAATTTCCGAACGATGAACACGGGGATTCAGTTTTCTGGAGTAGACTTTGTAACAGTATCAATGATGAAGTCTTATGCTAAGAACAACAACTAACGTGAATGTTTTTGAATTTTGTATCAAACACATTTGACAGTACAGTTTAATAGTAATTATTATGAACTTGATTGACTCTTTTCTGCAAGAGTCGTTAGCGAAGACCTGACTTTACGTTAATCAGTTCTATTTCTATCTAATGCCATTGCAATTTAGTTTCAATTTTCATGAATTAATGACTTTATCGTGTATTATGTATTGTAGGGTAGGCGCTAAATATATTTGTATAAAATGTATTGTTTTATAATCGTAAATTTGGTGCTAATTAAAGGTGTTCAAATTTTATTATTCACACATTTAGATCATTTGCAATATACTCTACACGTAGAAAAATGTACATAAAATTGGGAAAAATGGAAATCAATAAAGGCGTTCTAAAAATGAATTATGTGTGTGTTTATATGTCTGCGGGTATTTGTTAAATTAAGTTTTAATTATTTCTAAATCCATCATTTTTCTGTTCAAGTAAGTTGTTTCTGATATGAGTAGATTAAAATTCCTCATATTTATATACTTAAATTACTTTCTTCACGTCTTTAATACAGTTGACTAAAGAAAAAATGAAAAATTCATTTACAGTTAAACTAGGTTCTAAAGTACCCTCAGTTTATAAAGAATTTTAAATGGGCCCAAAATACAACTTTTCACTTAGTTTTTGTGTGCGAATATTTAGTACCTTGGTTATAGAGAAATCAATCGTAGTCCAGGTGAGTTCCTTATAATCAGGTCTGACAGTACATGTATTAAGTTGTAAAATGCCAATATGGGAACACACCATTTAAAACAAAATAGAATTATAAGGTAAGATTATGAAAGATATCTATATATTTAGCTCAGTTAACGCAGTGATTTGGATGGTATCCTCCTTATTATTTAGATTTTTAAAAATTATATCTTCGATACTGCCAATATACAATGTATATACATGTCATGTATTCACTAAAATTATATGATTGTCATACCACGTGATAAGTTTAAACAAGTCTAAGCAGAAAATAAGATTTTTTTTTCAATTATAAGGTATTTTAAATAATGAATTTGCTTGATGAAAGCAGTTTATAATATTATGACCTCGCGACAAATGATATGTCCCAAATTTATTGTTAAAATTGATTATTACTGGTATCATAAGGGGTTTCTAGCTCTTAGTTGATTCGATACGAAAGAGTATGCCATACATATGACCAATTTCTAAAACGAGGTAAATTATTGAAAGAGAAATTGCAGAAACAAGAATATCAGCAGTCTCCTTTAAAGTTATCAATTCTAAAGTTCTAAGCTGCCGATCTATAGCTCGCTGGTCTGAAACAAATTGGGATCGATTGATCAGAGAACTACAGTGCTACACATAAAAAACCTATTATTTTTAACGTAAAAAAGTTGCACTAAATTTTGAATTAACTTGTGCAAATTCCCAATTCGACTGAACAAAAGCTCGATATCTGATATCTAAATATTCCTTTGACCTCTATCAAGTTCTATCACATTTGATATCTGCATAAAGCGCGTAGGACCGAATTATCTTACCGCCCAAGATAACAGTAGACATGGGTATTTTTTTTTCTTTCGACTTCTTTAATGTATGGCCCAATAGGGCCATTTGCAATGGGTGTTAGTAATGTACGTACTCTTAGTAATATATGAGTAATTTGAAAAAGAAGGAAAAATAAATAGAGAAACAGCTCACATTTTTATGCGCAATGAATATAAACTTTTTTTCAATGGGTGGCACTGTAGCTCTCCGGTCTGTTAATAATTATTTCCGGAAATTTACAGTTCTGCAGTTAGTAGGTTCTATGGTCAATAGAATGATCTTGTCAGAAAATATTATTCACCATTAAGTCAATTGCTGACTGACTTTTTCAAACTGATTGTTGGGTCATTATATCTTTATACTGAAAGTCGACAAATTTCATATCTATATATTGAAATGTCGACAAATTTCGCGTTTTTCCGATTATGACAAGGATCACACAGCGAGTGTGATCAGTTGGCAGGGGATACTTACTCCCCTTTGGCACTTTATCCCACTTCTGATTTATTTGCGGGTTCATGTTTACTATGCTCCTGTTTTGTATTGTTTAATGAACTTTTGAGCTTGAGTACCGTTTGCTCTACATACATTTCAAAGGTCTGTCAAGTTTTTGTGTGTCTACATTGATATTGTAAGATCGAAAAATCTAAGTTGGTGAAATAAGCAACGGTTTAACTCAGTACTTTTAAATTCAAGCGGTTTGCTTTGAAAATTAATTTCATCCGACTTCCAGGTGATGACATAGTTTCTTTTCTATACAGAATTATAAAAAGCATTAAATAGTACACACTTATGAATCATGGTATGTTTTGTTCAATCCCACCATTTTTCGTTTCGTTCGCCTAGATCTTTAACAATGTAAACAATGCTTTAAAAAGATGTCATCATTACTTCAGCCTGAATTTACTTCCAAAATTACAGATAAAAAGTATTAATAGAAATACTTGCATTGATGTTGTTTTTAACTGTAAAAATACTAACTGTCCAATTATTTACAAAGCTAGTACACAAAAACTATATTTATAGAGAGTGGAAAATCCTTCTGCAGCATGATAGATATCCAATCTCCGATAGAAACCGGATGGCTATAGAATGAAAGCTAGGGCATTTGGTGCAAGCTAAGTCGATAACATCTATTTAATCATGAGATGCGTTTTACATAGAATTAGCTTTATTGACACAATGTTTGAATTTCACATTTAGGAGATTTTGGGGAATTTCCCGCCTGTTAAAACGTTCACCCTTAATAATGTTCAAAACATATAATAAAGTAAATAAAAACTGAATTTACAAAAAAGCAAAGTATATTTATCCTGTGTTCAAATTTCGCATCTATTTATATAGAAAATATTATGAGAACAATAATGTTAAATAAAGACTTTGTGATTTTGATAAAAATATGACTATATTGTAGAGACAGAAAATATATTGATTTTCAATTATAAGGATTGTTAATTTCAATTTTGATAAATAGTTTACGAAATGGACATAAGATATGTACGAGGGGTTATCAAAAAGTTCGTGGACTGAGGCTATAAAATTAGTACTATATAGTCTGTGCTTTCAAAATTTATTTGGAACATAAAACAACACAAAATAGAGAAATGTAGAAAATTTTAGCCTGATACGTTCATTATTTGCCAAATTATTATAAAATGAAAACGTCATTATATGATCACCCGGCGCTGTCGTCGTTTATTTTCATGACGTCCAATAATGTCATTGTTTTTTCACTGTCATCTTCTTCTACCTCATACACTTTTTGGATGAGATTCCCTGGAGCTGAGAAAGGACTTAAACCTGCCTTGTTTTTATGACTTTACAATGTCATTAACAGTGGCCTTCAATGAATATGATATTCCAGATGGATTAATACATTGGGAGAGATCCGCGCTTGATTGTGCCGGCATATTTTGCTTTTGGGAGTTCAATATCTACAACACATGATCAACGTCACTTTTGACGGGATTGATTTTTCACAGCTTGACTGCAAATCGACATTAATTGTGTATTCCTTTACTCTCTGAATCTATTTTGACATTAAAAGACAAGTACTCTGAATGCATATTATTTCTCTGTAGCCAGTTTCAACATATTTTAGGTCTATACAATTTTTTTCAGGGGCAAAACTTTGTATTATGTTGGAAACGGAAACCCCTTCCCCCTTTTGATGTCATTTTCAAGGCCTCATTTGTTTAGACATTCCGTGTAAAATTTACGATAAAATTTCATAGAATTTCCAGAATGAAGTGAAAATTTCATATTTTATAGAACAATTGTGTCCCGACACATACCTGAATTAACGGGACTTTTGGATGTCAAATAATCATATCAAATGAGTTTTTTTAGTTACACATAGGTCGAAAAAACGTCGTTTTCGAGGTTGCGCCGCTTGGACATACCATTGCTTACAAAAACATTACTAATTTATTAAAAAATAAAATTATTGATTTGTGGTTTATTCTTTGGATAGAAAAGACGATGCTTACTAGATATTTCAAAATTCATAGATGTACCTTGAGCGGTTTTAATTTTATGGCGCTAGTCCACGAACTTTTTGATAACCCCTCGTATGTATGAAATCACTAAAAAAAATCTTAAATGTTTTAGAATATGCCGTAAACATTCTTTTTTTCTGCTATTCATTTTATTTTCTTTTATTTTCAGGTGGTGCACTTAGTCTATATAAAAAAGTTATGATTACCATAGCATCACCCTTGATGCAAAATTTTCCTTAGACCAATTTATCCTACAGACTATAATAGTATGCACCAAAGAACATTAAGCTTATGGCCGTGATTCTAGAACCGAACATTATTGTGAATATTTTCCATCGATTCACAAATATTTTAAAAGTGATACAATTAGTTCGCTATCTTTTTGATCTTTCATTGATTCACAACACTGATAGTAACATCTTGTAGATTAAAATTTTCAGAAGCAACTAAGAGATTTACGAGAATAGGACTTGTCTAAATTTGCCTGATTGTCGAGTATAGGTTCAAATTTTCCTGATTGCTGAGTAAAGGTCTAAATCTGCCTGAATACCTAATATATAGATCTAAATTTGCTGCCTTCCATCGCCAAATGGTTGCTTAGCCTCTCAACCCGAGTGAGCATTTTTCGAAATAGAAGTTTAACAAAATATATCACAACCAAATCAAAGTGATACATGTAAATCTATAAAATTAATGTACATCTGTAAAAAATCAAAAAGAAATGAAGTTCTTCACTCAAAGTAGAGTAAAAATATCGCTTCATTAACTAGAGTTCTTCCTATATAGTCGTGAATCATTTCACTAATCTTCCTTGCTCATTAAAGTTATTCCATTAGTTTAAATTCTATAACCTCGCGAGGTAATATGATATATAATTACGAAATATTGAATTACATTAGATTGGTCTTAACCTTCTATGGTGAGTATACACCATAAAATTTTCACAATCATTCTCGGTTACACTCATTTATACTATTTACCAAAACAAATGAAATAAGTTTTGCGAATTATGATAAAAAAGAAAATATTTACGACCCACGGGGATGGACGTTAAATGGCGTGTACTGTGCGGACATATTATTTAATAAGTATTATATGATAAATATGAATACATGTAGGAATAATCTAAGTACACATAGTTGACACAGGTTAACTAAGTTTGCTTGATGAGAAGGACTTGAACCAAAAAGGTTTCAGTCATTTCCTTGTTATATTGTTATTCGGGATCTTTATTGTAGAACTGATCATTTAAAGCGATTATTCAATTGTTTTGTGAGCATTGAAATCGTTTAGAACAAAATGGGCTACACCATTAGCATAATGAAAATAAATGTGAAAGTAGAAATAAGTCGATATCATGAACAATCAAGTACACTTTTAATAATTTGACCTTAAATGAAAAGTTTTTTAGAGTTATTGTGGATGAAATTCTCTCAATTGCTAATTCAGATTAATGAAAAAATTCTCAGTGAGAATATTTTTAATGGTTTTCGTACGCCATCTCTTACAACGAACATTTATTATTATTATGAGTATTTGAAAACATTTTGAATTGATAAATGGTTGCTTTCGGTTTATTTAAAATACACATGTCTTAACAAAAACTGCGCAAATATCTTATATTAAACAATTCCTTGACTGTTAATTTTCATTTAGTTTTATTAGTCAGCAAAACGTTTTGTTCACTGCCTATATAGCCAATTCCAAATAGAACTTTTTATTTTGAAGACACATGAACACAGTTTAAGCTGAAAATGTTCAAATTTATTTTTCTTTTTTTTGTGCTTAAAAATAATTAACTATGGTATTTTTAACGATTATCAAAAATTTAAATTTCAGTTGTCGAGACATAAGACAGATTTAGACCTCTAAACCTTTGTTATGTAAACAAGGCCTGTGTCACAATTTTGTTTACATAGTTTAAATATGTACTAATTAATATGCAGTTTTTTCAGTAATAATTTAGACCTCTAAACCTTTGTTATGTGAACAAGGCCCTTGTTACGTTTTTCTTTACAAAGGTTTAATATATACTAATATGCAGCTTTTTTCAATAAAAAATTTATTCTAAATACCATGAAACAGTTTCTATTGATTTACTAAATCTTGTTTTGTTATGAATAAGATATTTTCTATATTTAAACAAATCAAGGTGCCTTGTTTACATTAGGAATAGTTTTAAGTTCTGTATCTCCTTTGTTAATCAAGAAATGATGTTCAAAATTTTGTTGATAATTTGAATAGCATTAATTATGAATTGTAAACATTAAATTGTTTTTAAAATATCAGTTAAAACTGAATCCATGTCCCTATTAGACATAAAGACATACAATCTTTCAAAATAAATTCGTCCCTTTTTCACAATGACATGCATGTATCTACAGCAATATAGTTTCTAAATTTGAAACACTGACAACACCAAGTATGCAGCAAGAGACGAAAGATTAATAAAAATTACTGATATCCCAAAAATTTTATCTAACTTCCGACTGAAACAAAAGTAAATTGTTCTCTTGAGTTTTATTTCCTTGTTGCTTGTATCAGATTTCTCAAGCTTTGTCAACATTTCGCTTACACTTCCGCTGGAATCCTCCGTTTGATAATAAACATGTAAAACAATGGCTTCCAGTATCACAACCATTCCACTGACTGTTAACTGCGTGAATAAATAGACGAGAAAGTACGAGACTTCATCAGATGTCTGTGGCATAAAGTCTTTCATCATTGTCAGAAAGACAGCAAAGGTTAAGAAAATAGCCATACAGGTACTCATTTTCTCTCCTGATTTGGCAGGAATCAGGAAGCAAACTACATTTAATGCAGATAAAATCCATACAGGTAAAAGGTGTGAACACACTGCAAACAGCGGCTTTCTAGTGAGGTGAATTATGAGCAACGCCTGCTTTTCGTCTTCTCCAATACCAAGGGTATCTACTGTAGCCGCTGTAGCGTTTGTAAGTGACCATTCTATGTGTTCAGTAAAAAATCCCAGAATGTATTCATCCCGTTTAAGTTGTAAACGAATTTTAACAATACCGGGAAAACGATTTAAATACATAACGGTGCATATCTGTTTATCAAAAGGATAATATTTCAAGCTTATCTTACAAGATATTGATACACTGTAAGAAGAAGGCATACTAACCACGCCTTCAGATGATACAATTGAAGTTGGATCTTCAGGGGAACAATATCGAGACAAAACCTCGTTATGGATATAAATTGATCTCGGAAACCATACTTCCTTTGACGGAAGCGTTACGTCTGTAATATCGTTATATTCAGATGCATTCCATTTTAGACGTTTGTCCATCCAATTCATCACTGTTCCCATTGTAAGTGAGAGGATTTGAGATTTCTCTTCAACACTGTTAAGAGAGAATACATAGAAACTGAAGGTTATGTTCAGTATATCGCTGCCATGTTCTGTTGGCGGAACCAACGGATCCGAGTAATATTGTATGCGTTGGTATAAATCTGATCGGGATAGGCCATATACGTTCCAAAATTTGGAAGCAAGTATGGTCAGTACAATGAAATACAGTATCTCCATTTTAATTTTGCAAATTCTATTTTCCTTGCATAATTGTTGCCCTTGATTATTCCGCTACTTTTCAGGCACTGACAGTTTTATGTAACAGAATCCATCCATTTGGAATCATTAGATTTCATAGCAAATCACTATGAATAAAGATGCTCGAATGTCAATTTAAAAATCGATTGTTAACTCTTGCCAAATATTTAATGAGTGTTGCAATGATATAAATTAACTAACGATGATGTCCTGTCCTGCGGTACTCAATGTTCAAAGCATCAATCAATGATTTTAATTGAACCTTTTTGTTTACAGACAAAAGTATTTGGCCTTTTATTGTATCTGCTTAATGCTTCCAGAGATTTTTATACGTTTCCGGATTAAATGATAAATGTTGCAAATCTTTGAAAGTGTTTGGAACATGTTAATAAAATCATATGGCATAACAAGAACATCATTTGCGCTTTAATTACGCTTTAAATAAAAATGGATCTACCTCTAAAATACTACAAACAATACAAATAACAGAGCATACAAATTGACCCAGACGTTTCATATAGGTACAATCATATCACTAGCTAAATGAAAACATTCCAGTTAACACTTCTTTCATACTCATCAAGACAAATAATCGGAAAGAAACAATAGGCCTAACTGTAGATATGAAATTATGTCAGTCAATATTTGACTCAGTGATAGGTTATATTTGTAAACAAGATTATCTAAAATTTATAAATCCTACGATTAAAAAAAATTCTTCTATTTAGCAAGGTTATTTGAATCCTTCTAAAATCAACTAATTTGTCTGAAACCTGCCTTGGATTAAAACCTTATCCAATTAGAAAAGCGAAAAAAAAATGATATGCAGACAATAGCAGAATACATGTATATGTAATAAATGAAATTGGAAACAAGATCTTTCGAAAAAAAACTGAGACATCCCTCTTTCCAGCTTACTTGTCTGTGCACAAAATGACATGTCTTGAAAATAATACAAAAAATATACTGTAGATAGGCAACAGCCACGATGGTTTTAATATCGTTTTGATCGCGATTTATCAGTTTTCCACGAAATAAATCCCAGCGTGAATGCTAACATTACTTTTTAAAAGTGTTTAATGCTTATATGAACCTTTGATTAATATTTTGCAGCGAGAAATTAAAGTAATCACGATGTGTACTTTGAAAAATCGTAAAATCTTAACACCATGAAATTGAAAGGACTTACAGTATTAAAGATCTCATAATCAAGACCAGAGAAATATTAAATAGTTTTTAATAATAAAATTAGAGATAGTATTTGCATGCACTTAACAAATATCTTTGTAGTTATAATGTCTACTGAAACATATGGTACACACAATTTATATAGTAATAATAATTATGGCTTTGATATACTCTGGCTTAATTTAAAAATGATATTAAATCTATACAGCAATGATTATTAGGGCTTTGATATATGTTGATTTTGGTTTTCTATGTATAATTGAGGCACAATTTATAGTGATTGTCAGTATTTAAACAAAATACTTTGATTTTTGCATCTTTAAGGTTGTTCAAAGTATTACAAATTATATCTTTATATTTCCAGCTCAGTTTTGATTCCAATTTACAAGCTTCGGAAGTAATATATGATATTTAGAAGACTTTACTTCAAATTATGACATTAAACATCCTAACAAAATAATCTCCAAGCATATCTAAATGTTATTTGGGTTACGTTTTGGCTTGTGCACTGTGTTTTTTCTTATTTTCCGGAGAATACATTGTTTTACAATTCAAAGTTTCATTAAAAACAACATCTAGAATGTCAAGTTTCAATTGAGGAACACTAATTAAAAATTGTCAAGTAAACTGTCCTTAACAATCACAAAACTTAATATCCATGCATCTTCACAAAGCGATAAACTTAAACTCTGTTATTAAATAAAAATAGTATATCAAGCTTTTGATATTTAATTTTATTCTTCATCACATGTATAAAATTCAGAGTAAACACACATGCTTCTGTTCTCAATGAGATGGTGAGATGTTTGAAATAGTGATGACTAGAAATAATGTATAATTATAATTTATTTATTTTTTCGAGATTTTGTAGTGTATGACGTCTGTAATCATGGGATGAGTGAGAAATTCCTTCCCTTTTCCCTCAGGATGGTTTTCATAGAATTCTCGTATTTCTTCGCATGCTTTCTCTTTCTGATCGTCCTCAAGGCTTTGAATGTAACTGAATGTAGTCCTTAAACGCACTAGATGATCAATAGAACCCTGAAAATGTAGAATAATTTTGAAGAATTATATTATAATATGATAGAAATGTAATTATAATACCTTGAAATAAAAAAACCGGCATTTAAATGTACATTATAGATTTTTATAAATCTCGAGTACAAATCTTCAATATAAATGAACTTCAAGCATCCTTAATACGATTAATTTTAAAATTTTTCCTCACTACATTCTGCTAGAATTTAAAGAGTTTTGATAAAGGAGGTCCCACGTTCAGTATTGAATAAAATCATGTTTCAATTATCAATTATTCCTAATATTGGTAAAGTCTTACTTTGAAAGCAGGTCCATCAAAACATTTTCTTGAAACCAAGCGAACCTTGTCACAACTGTCAAGAAATTTTTCCCATCTCATGTCATAATACTGGGGTGTGTCCTTTATCCATTTTAAAATAAATTTTTGGAAATCGGCATTTAAAAGTGATTTCTCATCTAAAATGTTCCAAACTAGAACTATAAAATAAAAAAAGAATTCCGATGACATTTTTGGCATGTTATATATTTTGATCAATGACTTTTGAATTACTCTTGAAATTTTTGTAGATCTTACCGAAATTCCCTCCAGGTTTCAACACTCGGACGATTTCGGTAATGTTTTCATCGTTTGCAAACCAATGAAAGCACTGGGCAGCAATTATAGCCCTAAGAAAAAAGAAGAAATGATAGGTTGCAGAAACAAAAAAAAATTTTTTTGCCGTTCAGATTAAGGTGGAATGCCACGCCAACTTTTTATTTTATAGATCTTTGAGTCATCCTTTTTAAACAATGGTTTCAGCATTGAAAGGCCGAGATTAGCTCTTAATTATTTTATATTATTATTTTTTTTTTTTTTTTTTTTTTGTATTTTTTCAAAGAAAATGAAATAAAAATTCTTATCCAAATAACTTGTTCTCGAGTTAAAAGTTTGCTGTAAATGAATGCATCATATGAATATCTAATATAATATGTAAAGTAAGGCTATTTAGACTTTTTAAATTTTTTTTATAAAAAAAATATTTATTTAAAAAATTTTAATATCTATACGGCTTTTCTTAACATATTTTATTTGGTATTCATGTGATACATTCATTTACAGCAAAATTTTTACAAGAAAGCATCTTATTTTGATGTAAATAATCTTTTTTTTAATTTTCTTTGAAAAAGTAGAAAAAAAATTCATTTAAAATAATTAAGAGCAAATGTCGGCCTTTCAATGCTGAAACCATTGTTTAAAAGGGTTGACTCAGAGACGTATAAAATAAAGAGTTGGTGTGGCTTTCCTCCTTAAGAAACAAATTTAACTCTCAAATCATCATTTAGCAAGCTAATTAAAATCAGACTTCTTACATGTATATCCATGCCGTATACACTCCGCACACTTTCTACGCAGAGGGTATATGGCGCGTGTCTAAGATGTTTGATTTTAATTAGATTGCATCATTGTGCCAACTGATTTCTTATATTTTACTTTAACAGAATTGTCAGGAAGTGGTATGTTGTTTGCACTACACTGCCTTGTATTCACACCAGGATTTTTTTCTTCCAACGTTTTGACGAAATCAGAAGAGGGTTCTGTAACAAGTACTTTCATTCCCTGAATAAATAAATAATTTTGAAGCTGCTGTCATTAATTTTTTATGTACTTGAGTGGCATTTCTAAAAAAAAAGATACAAGCAATTTATTGGTACGAGGTTTCATTAGATTCACTTATGTTGCTTTTACAGTTTATTATCAATATGTAATATATCTAATTTTCAATTGAAATACTTTGTTCGTATACCTGAGGACAGAGTTTGAACAAGCATTCTGTAAATTTGCCTGTTCCCGCTCCTAACTCTAAGATGTCGTACTCACAATCTATTTAATGAAAAAATACATCATTATGAATATTTTATTGTAATATTACCCTTTTAATAGTAATTTTAATCATTATTTTAAAATCTATTTAATTTATATCTATAAATTTCATATGCAGAGAAAAAATTAAACAAGAATCTTTTGAAATATATGTTGTTTTTTTTTATTAATTACGCAGTACCATCATCACAGGATTCCACGGAGTCCGTTGCCATTGAAATGACTTCTTTAACAACTTCGTCTGTATATCCAGGACGATACGTCTCGTAGTTACCTCCCTTTTTGTAAAAAAAAAAAAAGAAATAAATAACTAGGTCACCATTTTAAGTCGATCTGATGTAAACATTACATTTTTTATCAATATCCTTCTAGTAGAAAATGGCGGAATTTGTTATAATAATAATAATATGAACTAGTATTTAATCTAACGAAGTCAGATAATGAAACGTGTATATAAAGTGTATGTACATACATCAACGAATCCAGCTTTTGCAACAGGTATTACACCGGGTTTCCCATCAGACGACATTCTCTTTAGTGCACTCGATAAAGGTTATTAGATAAAACACGACCGTCAGAGAACATTATTTCGTCAGAGTGATCTGTCTTTAAATGGGTCAGTTTAATGATAATAAAAATGAATATTAGCATGATACATACAGCAAAATAGACACGACTAACCATTTTTTTTTAAATTTAGCATTACACAAGTATTGATTCAGCTTCAAGAGTGTGAAATAGCATGCTATCTAACATCGCCCTTGTAAATACAAATCTTATTGATCTTAATTTTGTCATAATTATTGACTTTCTGGAAACCTCATCAAGCACATTTTCATATGACATCATTATTTACCATTTATCAATTTGTTAATAATTCTGAGTCATAACATAAGCAGTACATGAAATTTTGAAATAATATCTTTAGGAAGTCAGGTCTCAGATAAATTAATATTTAACGCAAGGTCAGTTACTGAAAAATATTCTGATGCAAGGAAAGCAGACATTATAAATCAACAATGCTAGAGATCGTCATAACGGTTAACGGCCACAGACTAGGTGATTAAGTAATTATTCATACCTGTACTGACAAAACATAAACACAAAGATTTAGAATTTAATGCTTCTAAGACTCTAGTTGATCCATGCTGCTTAATTAGGCTTATACTTGGTATAATATTTGCTTGCAAACTTAAATATGTGACATATAAACGTTAAAAAGAGAGACGTAAAATATAATTATTTTGATTTAGAAATATTCAAGGTGATAAGATTTTAGTTAATACACGTATAATATGCGATTTTCAACTTACCCAAAGTACATAAAAATTATAATCAAAACCTTTTAATAATCAAAATATTTCCAAAATAAAATGGTTCTTGTGAAAAGCTATTACATATTTTTTAAATTCTTTCAAAAAAGTGCAAAAACATTTATAATAAATGACAGAATTAGCTAAAAATAACTGCTTTCTAAAAACATTCCATAGAGTATCATTTTAAATAATTTAAAAAAAATGGACATGTGATAAACAATTTTGATCTGTTATACTCGTAAAATTAAAATGTAAGTTAAATACTTCTATAATGGACTTAAGGAATGAAGCTTATTTCAACTTATATTCTACGATATAACATAACTTGGGGCAGTGTACGCTTTATAAACCGCGAGGCGATTTATAAAAAAACGTAAACTGCCCCAAGTTTTGTTATATTCTATAATATTAGTTGAAATAAGCTTCACTCCTTATAATAATTTCAATGCAGACAATGAGACAATTTTCCCCCTTGAATGAGGCTTCACATTAATTAAATTTTTAAAGTAACGTCAAGCGGAGTAATACGTTTCTTGACGTAACTCATTGTGACGTAGGCAAGTTATGTTATACAAAATGGATAAAATCTTTTATCCAATCAAATGACTTGTTACAAGTAAAATTAAATTATTACCTTTTAATTTTAATGATACATCAGAATTGTTTATCTATGATTCTTTTTTTATTTAACATTTTATATTCAATAATTTCACTTCAAGATTATTATTAACTTCCCAATTTATACATATTTCATTGATATACACATTCAGGTCAAGAAATGTACATGTATGAACTCTAAAAAAATTATTTTTGCAAAGCAAGTTCACATTTAGAATTTTATTATTTACTGATTTTAAATAGAGAATATTTCTACTATTTTAAATGGTATTCCTTGAAATACGAATCTTTTAATGCCCCGACTCTTGTTGCATAGATGTGATCTTGAGATATTTGGTTTGGTCTGTAGGCTTAAGCCCATAAGTTATTGGTTTTGATCTGAAGATATTAGACTTTTCAAATTTACTCTTTCTAGTTTAAATAACAAACAATCAGAACAAATGTAGATAAACCAAGAATTAAGAAAGTCATCACAAGCATAATGGAGTCAATTTTGCGCAATATTACAGATGTGCAAAACACTTTCGATGATGTACAGTGCAGACTTTCCTTCCTGATGCTAGTAATACGTTTACAGTTATTATTTCTCATTTCCACATTAGAGGGTAAAAATTCAACGACATTTTCTGATGATGACGTAGGCACTATTTCCGTTTCGGATGCGGTTTTTACTTTGATTGTAATGAGGGAAACTATAGTCGAAATTGAACATAGGAACAGATGAAACGCAACGAAAACAGTTATGTACGGAACATCCGTGGAATTTCGCGGCATTGTTTGATCAAATAGGGTCAAAAATACAGTAAAAGTTAGGAACAGAGTCAAACAGTACGCCATTCTCTCTCCAGATTCTACCGGAATTAGAAATGTCAGAGAATTCATCATGGCAAGAATAATTACAGGCATAACCGTGCTCAATATAAAGTACTGATACCTTCTCTGGAATTCCAGCGTGTAAACAATTTGAGTTAAGTCAAACTCAGAGTTATGGATGACAGTGTGGGTAAATCTTTTGAACTCCCATTCACCATTTTTTGTTATGTTTTTGACATTATTGTCCGACCTTGTACGGGGAATAATTTTCTGCATCCAGTCGGTTGTCTGCCATGCCCCAACTACCATGCTACATTTCTGTTCATCAAACGGAAACTTTTTCACAAGCAAATGACACTGCACCGTATATTTTGCCCCTGGAAACCAAGTCACTTGACCTTGAGAAGTGATGGATACAAATGGATGTGCTCCAAGGTTATGGATATGTTCTTCGGAGTAATACAAGGATATATCTGGTATCCAAACTCTTTGATAGGGAACGTTGATTCTTTTTATCCCCGGATGTTTATTTTCATCCCATGTCAGATATTCGTCCTTCCATTGAACATTGAACCATCCAAAAAATGAGATATACTGAAATCTTTCATCCACTTTGAGAACAGTTTTGATTATCATTGAAACGTTTACTTCAACAAGTTCGCTCTGATTTCGTCGAGGTTTTACAAAAGTAGAATAATTTTTGAAAAGATGGTCTTCAATCAAATCAGAAAAAGTTCCAGTGAACATTGGTTGAATTACAAGAAAAATTTTGATAATATCCATTATGCTAAGAACGTTTTGTAGTTTATTACTAAATGTAGACACAGTCTCTGTCAGATTGAGCTCTCGATGCTGTTGTAAATCCAAATACATTTACTAACAACTCACAAAAATAAGAAAATAAAGTTTAAACTTCCTTTTTATCAACGTTTCTCTCCAAATGAGTTAACATGCGGTAAGCGACTCAAATAATACAACTGGACTTTGTTATTAAATGAGGACGCAAGCAAACTTTTTTCTCTCTGCGTGATTATTTAACAGATATACATGGAAAGTACTTCTCATTGTCCATTTTCAAGCTCGCTGTGAAATAAATATAAGACAGGTTCTTCATTTGTATTTTCCCATACCTGTCATTGAAATAATGACAAAGTCTTTATGCTTTGCGCACATTTAGGCAATCTCCATGGATATTTAATCCCAATTGATAATACAAATGTTTGCAAAGGATAATGATTCGGGAAACTTACAGCCCTAATTACTAGAACGATTTTTATACTATGGAATATATTGAGATAACGAATCAGCAATTTTTATAAAATGCATAAAATATTGTGAAAGAAGAAAGTTGTTAATATTTCATATCGCATGGGACAGAGCTATCGCCTTTATTGAATTTTACTAATGCAAATTGTCCTCATTGAACTAAGTTAACCTTTATAGAATATGTAGAAACCTTTTGTTTGGTTATTTGTACATGGAAATGCACCTCCCTTTGGGATCTCGTATCTAGAGATATAGAAAAGATTTTGCCATATTGAAATAAATGACATTAGTCGATATAGTTAGTAACTATGTTCATGTTAACGTCATTATCCTGTCCTAAACATAGTTCTGATGGAGGTTAACGCTCATAGCTACATGTACTATTATGTCAGAATGCATTGTTTTGTTGACAAAATGGCAACTATTTTAGATATGGTTAATAAAATGATCCGTCATGTCAAGAATTAAAAGGGCACGGTAGCGTTTGTATTCATAAATTGTTGTTGTTTTTTTTATACACATACAGATTTTTCTATTTTTATTGTGAAAGTAAATTGAGTTTAATGATTTGAGCCTTCATGAAAATGCTTACATCTTATGGGTATTTTAATTAATTTATTTATCTCATACGTGTTGGGGAAACAGCCCATAAGATAAACATTTGCTTTATCCATGAATAGAAGCTTTATCAATAGCACTTTAGGTTTTGACTTGATTTCTCGATTCAAAATTTATTTTATTGGAACTTTTATTTGTGGAAATTATTGCCCTAATAAAATGAATGATAAAGAGCGATAATATCGTTAAAAGCAAGAAAAAGACTCGTATATAACAAAGAAGTGTCTTATTTTATCCAGGAACCTGTATTGGCTTCATTAAGACAGGTGTTACCCCCCCCCCCCCCATCCCCCATTATAAATCAAGAAAGTAAAGCCTAGCAGTTAAGTTGTTCTTATAATATTCCTTAAAATCTTCAATATTGCTTTCTTATATTATACTAAGTATGCCTTCCTAGTAATGTAGGTGTAACTTACCATGGATCAACAATTAATCTACGAGTAGGTGGCCCCTAGCCGTGCCTTACACGTTAAAGTGTACTGCCATCGTACAAAGAGTTAATTTTCACGATCACATGGTCCTAACAACTTTCAGTCAGAAGTTCGTATGATGTAAATCTCCAACAATTGTCACATAATGTTTTGAAAGACGCAGACAGCAAAAATTTGAATACGATCTACTTTCTTTAGAGGCATGTCAACATCAACGGTGCTACGTCATCAAAATTGTCATCAGTTTGAATTACCAATCATTACCAATGTACACCTTCAAGGAAAGGGTGTACATAGGCCTTGCCTGTTGCCCAATCCTAATTGAATTACTCAATAAAAATATGTTTAAAGTAATTACCAATCATTCATGTAGTTTCGCAGGGGAAGTCACAAAGTTTTGTTAAAACGCAAGTCAAATAAGATAAATAGAACATCTATAATTGTGTGATTTGATATTGGCTTTACCCAACTCTTTGACATTGTGTATATTCGCTCGGCAAGCCTCACGAATTTATACACCATTTCAAAGAGTTGGATAAAGTCAATATCAAATCACACAATATAGATATCCTCTTTTTATTCTTTTAAATGTATTGATACCCAACACCTAAACTTTTATATGTATGAACGGTACCTAGAACTGGTTTTTTGTTTAGTTTAGTGTAATACATTTGCTAATACTGCTCACATACTTGCAAACAAACAGGTAATCGATATGCAAGTGGTTTTTTTCGTTTTCTTCACATTTTATTTTTTTCTTATTTTTTCTTTATTTAAAACCAATCATTTTATCAAAGCTGATTTTTTTAATTCAAGGTTAATTTTAGATTGTGAAAAAGCAAGAATGTTCCATTCAAAACTATGTATCCATGACAAATGGCAATATTAGGAAAATTACAAAGAAGAAGAAAGGGCGAAAAAAGCATTAACATTAAAACAAAGGAAATCATCAAATATAAACTCCCAGCAGAATTAACATAGTGAGAATTGCGGAAAAACACCTAGCTAGCGTGTAATTAAACAAAATCACCAGGAAATATTACAAACAATGACAAGAGTCTAAAAACCTACTTGAAGAGACCCAAATAATAGATTTTAGCAAAACGTCGCGGGGGGCACCATTAAAGGATGCTTACGAGTTTTTCACAAAATAACCTTAAGCAGACCAAGGCTGGCCAATTAAGCGACCAGTTCCAGTCAGTATACGACTTCTTTTACTTGCCAGAAAAGGGTCCGTCGCCGCATCCATCTAACATGGACGTAAGCATAAGAAGCCACGGAAGACGTAGACTTTTACTATTCAAAGCGCCGGGTCATACGGAATACCTACCTGGTATCTGAAGGGCTATGAGATAGAACTCTGCTACATGCAAATAAATTTGATTCAATGTTCTATAAACAATGTTCAATACAATTTCAATCTTCAAGGAAAAGAGATAAACAACGCATAAAAATTAAAGATCTCTTTCCGAATTAAAACTATATCTACTGCAAACTCCAAAGAGCAGATCTTCCACAGTAACATCAGGAATCACTATCGCTCAACCGGTAACATGCGTAAGTGTACCACATGTAACATCGGACCTTAGCAGGTGCATTCCTACTCAACATGCTTATAATGCCATAAAAACCTGAAATAAGACCTAATAGCTTTTCAAATGATGCAAGAGTTTTAAGCAATGAACTTTGATTTTTAATAAACGCAGAGCTATCCATATAGCATGTTATAAAGCTGTTGACAATCCAATGGTGACGCTCTACACCTTTCATTTGCACAGGCTTTAAGGGAAGACACTAGCAAATACAAAGAATATAGTCAGCAAGGACTTAAAATGAATAACATACAGGTAAACCAAAAGAACCCTTGGAATTCAGTAGATATAACACGCGAGGTTGCAAACCATCGGCTAAATATCTAATGTACAGGGATCTTTGGGGAGGTTTACTTGGTTATTTGAAAAGAAGTAAATGAAGAAATGTATACCGTCAATAAATAGACGTCTTTGGTACCCATTTGTTTTTTGTACTAAAATTGACTACGGGGTATTCAATACAAAAGGCTCTTAGAGGGTGTCACTGGTCGCCATGGTATGTTAACAATTGCAATGTACTCTTCGGAGGTAAATTAGCTTCTTCTCTGAAATTATTAATGGTCTGTGTTTATTCCATTTCACTGCAGATTTTTATTGTCTGACGTTTTTAGGAGATCAATAACTCTTCGTAATATTTACCCTTTTTATATATATGCATACGTGTATCAATAAAAAAAAGAAATCGTTTCTAAAAATGTTCTCATTTATTCATTTAACAGCATTCTCTTTTCTGAGAAAGTTAGGAAATCGAATGTTAAGTGTCATTTTAGATATTAGAAATTGTGAGTGAAAGCCATTACTTACGATTAAAAACAAAATCAATTCGTCCCCCTTGTCTATCTTTAATTCATTTGTGCCTTAAGTGTTTATATTTGACAAAACTCAAATATTTCTTCAAGGTGTAAAATATCCTGCTACATTAACTGATTACTTAAAAGCATATATAGACAATATCTGACATGTTTATCTTTGGGATAACTATTTGCGGTAATATCTCTTTAAAACTCCCTCAAATGAATAAACATCCCTCAAAATATGAAGAGATGTTGGTGACGCTTGTTTTCCTAGCGTTTGGATTTTTTGTGTTTTCTGTTCATTGTTGTTCCGAAAACATACTTCATGGATACCTGTTGGATGGTTTTACTACTGAGAAAATACCAAACATTGGTGTCCATGTCTGTATTAAAGAATGTCTTTTACGAAGACACTGTATGTCCATCAATTATAATAAAAAAGAGTTTGCTTGCGAAATAAAAAACAAAACGGCAGAAATTAGCTTGGAAGGGACTTTACACAGTGATTACATTTTCGCCAATGTTGTAAATTCTTCTGAGGTAATCTGGATGTGTTTTTCTTGCAAAAATATGGCAGTTTAATTTTTACATCATATCTGATATCTATTTTATTTCAATAGAAAAAAAATTAGTTATTTATTTTTTTTTTGTCAAACAAGTATTAGAGGCTTTTATTTTTGATATTGTTCAATATAAGTGTAACACTTATCAAATTTTTGTTTTAAATGAAATAGACTCGAAAATAATACCAGTTATAGCGTAAATTGTAATATTTTGATGCAAAACTGTGGTTCAGTGTATGAAATTGAATCATATATTGTACATGTATCTATATGAAATGTATATGGGATTGAATATATGTTTGACTGTTTGTTCTTTAGGGACGTTCAATCATGAGCTTTTGAGCGGATTTTGGTCCTGACCTTTATTTATAAAAATTCTGCATCATTTTTATGTTTTAAAAGTAAATCTGAATTCTACGACCCAAATTAAAGTATATTCAATGAGAAAATTAAACGCGATTAAATTCCATTCAAGTAGAATTAAGCTTGGAACTATATATTGTGGCGGAAGGTTTTTTAGAAGACAATGATCACTTTTTACTTTGTAATATAACAGTACTTTAAATTTTAGATGCCTATTAGATGCTGGTTGCACACAAAGCTGTTTTTCAGTGGAATGTGTTATACTAGTTCTGAAATATCTATTCATCAATTTTTATGAATTCTTTCAACGGAGTGTGACAAATAAAGTAATTATAATATTTTCGTAAAATTGACCCTTTTAGTAATATCTGAAAAGAAGAAGGTATGGTTTCCAAACAAATTTTGCCCTGTTATTTTCTAAAAAATGAAACTGGTATAAAAGTTGAAAACTCATGCTTTTTAAAAAATAGAAATTCAATGCAGAAAAATCATACAAGTCATTTTCTCACATGTGTTTTTAAATGCTAATTTTTACACATGTGCACGTATTTTCTTAAAAATTGACAATTTTCAATTGAATTTTCTTTTATTGTCCACAGGCATCGCCCACAAAGATCTTGAGATATGTGATTTGTTAAATTTTACAAAATATCAAAAAATTAATATACACCTAAAGGAAAATCACCCTTTTGATTTTAGGCTTTTTCTGTTGAAATAGAGAAATGCTTCACAAATATCTAAGATGGTAAACTTTCATGACCTGATTTATCAGAATCATTTATTTAACTAATATTTAAGCCAGTTTCAAAAAAGTATTACATGACCTATTTGCTTAAATTAAAAAAAAAGTTTAAGACTTTAAAATAAATTTTTCTTGCTTATTAAATTTTCAATGCCAGAAAACTCACATTTTATTAGTGTAGAAAGGTCAAATAATTGATTATGCAAAACCATTTGAAACTTTTTCTTTGTCATAATTTTAAGGTTTTTTTAATAAAACTTATGTTCTTTTTATTCATGCTTAAATTAATGAAAACATTAAAGGGAAAACGTCGAAGATGTAATTGTTAATTTAAGACACAAATTTCAGTGCAAAAAGTAATATATTTAATAGAGAAATTGTAATAAAACTCCAAGAATATGAATAAGTAACAAATAATTATGAAAAGGAATGCACATCATTTCACGATAGATATCACAAAATGTACACACAATCTGCAACATGTACATCTTTGACTGACAAATTTCATCAAAATATTACACTATTTAGTTGGCAACTGAAAACTTAAAGGATTTTTGCATTCCTTCAAAATAGTTACATACCATTTACATTATTACAGTAAGCTGTATACATTGTAATTTCATCACACAATACAGTCTTGGATTTGTCAACATAATTAAGGTCAAGATCTATTAAATGAAAGGTGCCTACAGGTTTCTTTAATGCAAGAAATATATTGTTATTAAGCATTATATTAAAAAATGTATAAATCGAATTAAGATTATTTCGGCATGATTTTAAATTGAATTCTGTGAATTTCAAAATGCAGTATTTTCTACCATTTCCATACTGAAGCTGTAAAGTACGGGAAATGACATTGAATTAATTATGATTATTATAATTAATCATAATGGATCTAGCACAGGCTAAACACATTCACTAGTTATGATGTCATATGACATAGGTTCTACGTTAAAGAACTTATTCGTGTCACTCACCGTAACAGGAACCTCGATTTATACGGTCACATCTGAGGGACCGGTCTCCACGGTCCGCAGAGGATTCGAACTTGCGACAAAACCTCAGCTCCTTACTCCATGACAGAGCAGACTCTCTACCAATTCGCAACGCAGGCGACATCGTTAATACGAATCACTAGTAGTGAATACAGGGTTACTTTCGCCCTATTACACTTGCTTTGCTTTCAGTTTTTCCTCGTTTTAATTTTGCCCAGTCACAGTTCTGATTAAGAATTAATATTGACCGTTTTGAATTTGCCCACCTGTGACAAGGGCGAAAAGGGGCAAAAATAAAAAGAGGAACGAAAATCTCCCTTTTTACAGTATAACTATATTCATATCAACCTGAAAAATTGAAAAATATTTATGTTCTGCTAAATGCATTGGTATACTTTGTTATAATGTTTAATCGACAGATATCTTTGGGAAACTGTAGAGATTGGATATGTCCATCTTCATTCAAATGTGTGAACACACACGATAGTGTCACGTGTATATCAACAGGTAGGTATTTACCTATCTCCTTTGGTTAATTTTGTCCTAAATCAACGCTTAACATGAAAGATCACACAAGTATCAATATCCGAAAATGGATGTCTGTAATTGTAATGATATCTGACAGCTAAGGCACCTTTTAAATTTATCATACGTTTTCAAAATAAAATAAGAGAATAGTAGCATATCGGTGGTTATAGTAAAAAAAAGCAGTCGTAAATATCAAAAAACGGTATACATGTAAAGATAACACAAGATCTCTCGAAATATTTTTTAAATATTATACTGATAATTAATTACACACAAATTATTGATGCTTTAAAAAACACACACAATTTTTTACATCATCTTAATAAGAATACATATGTTACAGTGAATATGTGTAATCAGGAATTTCATGTATTTCTTGAATTTTAGGAAATACATGAAATTCCTACTCTGCTTAGGAAATACACGTATTTACTGATTTCAGTTAGGAATTACACGTATTTACTGTATTTTTCAATACTTTTTACACATATTTACTGACTGTGTTTTGGTGAGATCATATTAATCTAAAATATGAATCATTATATATGAAGAGATGTACAGTATATTCAGTGTTTATATCGGTTAGCATATCATGTGAATAAATAATATTTTGAATAAACGAACGTTATTTATGAAATAAAAAAATCTTTATTCGTGAATATTACCTAAAATATACATGATGATACGCGGCTGTCATTTTTCTAATAAAAAAATTGTAAAATCTATTTCAAATACATCATTCTGGTGTTGAAAGCTCCAAAGTAATTACTTCCTTATAAATATATTTGAATTTAGAATATCAGGGAATCCATTTTACAAAGAAAGTACCTTAAAGAAGAGACTCGAGAAGGGGTTATTGTCCTTAGAAATATTTAAAAAAAAAAATAATTGATTCAATAAAGAAAATGTTATTTTTTTTAAATTCTTTTACTTAACAGTATTTTTAAACACACGTGGAAATCATTCTTCAAAAAGAAATTTTTCTATTGGGTGTGAATATGAATAAATGAAAGTCTCTGTAAAAACTTATGCCATCACAGGAGGATGGAAATACCTTAATTAAGGCATTCCTTCTTAAAGATCATGAATACTCTGATAAGAGAGATAACTCTTAAGGGTTTATCAGCTTTAAATGGAATTTTAAAAATACAATGCTTTGAAAGTCCGAATCCTGCCCAGAATGGGAAATTAATATATAACGTCAGCTTTGTGGAAATAGTTCTTATTATTTTCGACTTCAAAAGCATGTATACTAGTACACTGTATTTGTTTACTTATGAGATGTTTTAGAGCACAATCATATATAGTCATAAAGCTTCAGTAAAAACGTGTAAAATTGGCTAAATTTTTTTAGTAAATACATGAATTTCCTAGCTATTCAGTAGTTAAATGTATTTCCTAAAACGGCCAGTAAATAAACGTATTTACTGGATGGATTAGGAAATACATGAAATTCCCGATTTCACATATTTACTGTAACATATAGACGATTTGAAGAAAAAAGAAGTTATATCGGTCATTACAATGTTATGAGAAAAATAATCAGTGCAACAATTTTCACAAATGAAAAAAAACTTCATATCATTATTTTAAACTATTTTTTAATATTAAAATTAAAAATGATATTATATGCCTTTTGTACTCTCTTCTCCTCAACCTTATTGAAGAAATTCTTTCGAATTGATCACGGATCCATTCGGGGGACGCTTTGTATGATTTATATTACTGAATGTTCATCTTCGTTTAAAAATGCAAAGATTTTTTTTTTAAAATTATATTGAGCAGCATGTGCACCAGGGACCTATGGGAAGGATGGTCAATGCATACCATGTTCAGTTGGACAGTATAGCACCGGAAGTGGACTTCATTGGTGTTCGATGTGTCAGCCAGGGTCGTATCAAGATCAGTTCGGGTCAAGCTTTTGTCATCCATGTCCCGCTGGAACTTATCAAACGAATCAAGGAAAAGATACCGTATGTTAGATTTGTATATGCAAAAAAGCTTTTTATGTAGGGGTGAAAATAAATACGTTTTATTAATTGATGGAACGTCGTCAATATTCATGTATCTAAATGTTGCAGTGAAAGCCATATAAAGGGACTTCTTTTAAGTGTAGAAATTTTTAATAACTACTTCATATGAAATATAAAATTGATCAGGGACACAAATAGTACATATTGTTAAAAACGAGATGCAACTGGTACTCATGCAAATAAGTAAAATAAGTGGACGAAAAACATCGCTTATCCTTCGGCGACATAATAGGATAAAAATGGATCGATCAGTTTCACACTCCTCATAGGAAACACATGGTTGATCTCCTCGACTTTACTTCATCACCCTATCCTACAGTGTAACAGATCACACGGTAATATATATATATATATATATATATATATATATATATATATATATATATATATATATATATATATATATATATATATATATATATATATATATATATATATATATATGTTGATGTATTTTATAGTCAGAAAGTTGAAAATTGGAGTTTATATAATAGACCAAGTCTGAAAAATTACATTTTAACAAGATTTAATGTCAATGAATTAAACGAAATTGTAGTTATTTTTTCAATAGTTAGACAGAGATAGGGAATTAAGTCCAGAATTAACAAAATACATGTAATTTAGGAATAACATTTTCGTTGCGTAGATATTCGTCAGGAGTTCCAAATGCTGTTTTGATAGTCCTGCACGAACCTGAAGTTTTCTTGCTACTATTATTCTTCTAGTGTACACCATGTCCTATTGGTCGGTATAATAACGAAACTGGCATGGAGTCTTGTGCTTTGTGTCCGAAAGGCACCTTCTAAGACCAATCCCATTCAAGTGAATGCAATCCCTGTAGTTCTGGCACTTATCAACCTGATAAAGGGAAAACAAGATGTAAAATAAAAACTTGACCTCTACACGCTGTATCTTTTTTTCTAGTGCCTTTCCTGTTCTACTGGTAGATATAGTGCGGTCACTGGTAGTTGGCAGTGTCGTCAATGTCCTCCAGGGACTTATCAGGATACAGTTGGATCAAGTCATTGCAAATTATGTCCTGCTGGTACCTATCAACCTAACTACGAAGAGGAAACTGCAGGTCAATTGTACTACAATGAAAACTGTCTAACCCGACACCTGTTTAATCCGTCACAGTGTTAATCCGACGTAAAATTTCTTTCCCATTTTACGAATTTTAAGGTTATTTTATACTTTGCAATCCAGGTTACACTGTCTATTCCGACATGAAATTCGTCCCCAGTGTTTGTCGGAATAAACAGGTTTCATTGTACTTTTATTTGATTTTACACTTTTTTCCCATCTTCGAATATTAAATATAAACTTTTGCTCAATATCAATCGTTGCTTTCGCAAAAATAATCAATGTATTTGACCATATTTTATTGCATTACATTTTTTTCTTTGCAATAGACTTAATATCATGTCACAGGTTTAGAAAAGTGGATAGTTCTTAGATTTTTTTCCTCTGTAGACTTGGAAAATATATGTTAATAATACTTCAATATTTTTTTTTTTTTGTGAAAACCATATGTTACAAATCAGCATATATATGTGATATTTTTTTTATCATTTTTGTTTTCCCTTATAAAATTCACTTGATTTGGTTTTTTTTTTTAAAGTTTATATTACACTATTAGCACCAAACTAACTTATTCTGAAAATTGTTTTCATATGTAAACCTTTACTGAGTGTGATTTGCCCATATTTGTTAATTTATTGAAGTATTTAATAATATTTTTCAATCTAATACATTTTCCAAGTCTAAGGAGGAAAAATTCATTTTTTTCCAAAACTGCGATATAATATTTAGTCTCCTTCAAAGAAGAAAATTGTATCATCTGTCCTTTATATTTGAGTCATGAGAAAAATTATTTTGTCCAGGAAGAAATATTAGTGAGAAGTCAAATGGTAGGGGCATGGATGAATCGACATCCTTTAAGGTTTATATTCTATATTTATACCACCCGCTAAAAAAGCGGGAGGGCATAAAGTAACCGTTATGTCTGTCTGTACGTATAGCTGTCTGTACGTACGTCCGTCTGTCTGTTACGCTTTGGGGTACCCATTTCTTATCCGTAACTCCTCTTTTATCACTGAATGAAATTTGATGAAACTTTCACAGAATCTTTATTATATATTGCCATTATGCACCTCTTATTTTACTTTTCGATCCGACACATATTTTTGGTTTCCCAAAACAAAACATGAACACTCCCATTATATTCAAATGGGAAGCTGGGGTATCATTTAGTGAGCTTATTGCTCACAATACCTCTAGTTTCTATATATTTTGTATAGCATAGTTTTTTAACATTTAAAGTTTTTCCTTGAAAGACAGGTAGATTAAGAAAACAATTACTTTATCTACATTTTATCAGCTTACAGTCGGTAAAATACATTTATTGCATAAGAAAACAGAATTTCGACACTACCTGACTGTACAATTAGCTACTATCATTAGAGGAATCTCTATGTCGGATAATTATGCAACTTCAAAGCGGCATTTTGGCGCCCACCAAACATTCAATTTTCAGCAAATTGAAGATGGCATTTAATAAACCTTGATGTACGTACAGTCTTCATACCTATCTTTTGCAAGTGTGCAGCTCACCTGTCAGGTAAGAGACTCACCATTGATTATAAAATTCTCTTAATGGAAAAATATCCTGTAGGGATTTTTTTAAAAAAAAATCCTATTTGAAATTTGCCAAATGCTATTGGAATTTTGCCAAATGCTATTGGAATTTTGTCAAATCATACAGGAATTCATTTTCTCGAGGTAATTATACTTTTCCTGTAGGCACGTGTAGATATAAAGTCTCTATATCAAGGTTAATCAGAGGACATCTTCTATTTTGCTGAAAATTAAATGTTTTTCGGACTCCAAATTGCAACTTTGAAGTGGCATAATTATCTGGTGTTCCTATTAGGGTAGGAATATACTACAAGAATAAAGTGTATGCGAAATGTTCGCTGGTGATTGAATAAACACACAAGAAATAGCACATGTCGATAACATCCAGAATAAAAAAAAGATTAAAATATTCGTAAGAAAATGAAGTTGGTTGATCATTCAACTAATCTATTGCAACTTCACATTTCATTAAGACACTAATTAACTCTTTACATTCCCAATACAGGCCATTTTTCCCAGGTACTGGTATTTCAATGCATTCTTCTTTATGAAAGTCCATATAAATAATAATAAGGACAATTTTATCATTTTACTCGGTAAATTCATGTATTTATCAAAGGTTGAGTGACAATAATCAATTATAAATCGTTATCCATAGATTCCTGCGAACTTTGTGAACCTGGATATTACTCTGGGGAAGGTGAGTCTAGCTAGTAAAGAAACATTCTACGGGCTCGGTCTCTTAATGTCTCTTAATGTACATTAATTTTTACAACATTTTATATAAGATCACACTCATTGATTCATTAATGCCACCTTTTCGTACAACAGGACAAAGTACATGTTCTATGTGCAGTCCGGGGTTTCATCAGCCCAATGCCGGGCAAAGTTCCTGTGTATTTTGCCCGGGCGCTCAGTTCCAGAATGAATTCGGTCAAACTTCCTGTAAAGACTGCTCACAATTCAACAGATGTTACAACTCAAAAAAGACAACGTGCTACCGTATGACTATCATTGATCTTAAACAAACAATATTCTACTTAATTCATCATATAATAAAATTCTGGTAACCTCTTAATTTCATAATGGTTGATAATAACATTTTCAACTGTAAGTCTAGTTATTTTTTTCCCTTCTTGATATTTATCAATTTTCCTGACATATAGCATTGATATTTCAGATCTGCATAAAAATGATAGAGCGTTTGGCTACTCAAACACTTATCAAGGAGTGCTTTCTCACAGGCAATGCAAGAAATCATGCTGGAGCGATCCAAATTGTCGTGGATTTAGTTATGAGCGCCATAACAATCCCGGATATTGCCACACCTTTCCCAGGAGTGATTCAAATTATTATGAGGGCTTTGATTTCTTTAGCTTTCCATGGGAATGTCATTCTTAGATAAAAAAAAAAATGCCTAAAAAGTTTCGATTAATACAATATGATAAAAAAAATCATACGTTTCATTTAGTAAACTGTTTAAATTATTTTCAATATTTTATTACATCACTCATGTACAAACAAGTTTTAAAAGAATTTTATCATCTTTAACAAAATTTCATATAAAACATTCTGTAACTTTAACGTGTATAGAAGGAGATAAAATGACCAGTTAACTCTGAATATAACGACAATTTAAAATACATGGTTTCAAATTTTCAAATATGTTTCTGCTTACGAACAACTGATCAGCGGATTAAAAATAAACACAAACTTCAGCATTATCTTTTTTATTGCATTTTTGTTATTGAATTATTTTTAAGAAAACTATTTTTTGAATGCAATGCACACGCAAACATGCTAAAAATTATCTACATTACACATTTTCAGATTTACAGATTTTTTTTTACTTTTAAAAAGATCTACATATGACAACTACTGTATATTTGTGCAAAAATATTTTAAATGTAATATTGGTGATCTTGCAAAGTTCAATAACATACCGCTCAACCATCTATAACATAACCAGATATTGTGTGAATATAGGTATTTTCATTCATTACATAAAAAGTAAAATATTCATTCTATATAATTATAACGAAATCAAACTAGAGGCAATTTAGAAAAAAAAAACTGCAGCACAAGTTGCTTTAAAAAGATCCCTGAATATGACGAAGTGATCTCAATTCTTACCCAATTTTACAAAATAAAATACAACAAGAATATACCACCCCCCCCCCTTAAAAATAATACAAAAATATTTTTGTCAATATACAAAGCAAAAAGAGACACCTATATTTTATTTTCTTTAAATACTTTTTAATACTTGTTTTATTTCATTCACTTAGTTTTATTTCTAAACAATATTATGCCTTCATTATTATATTTTGTGTTCATTTTACATTTTTCCTTGTAGATGATTACTTTATTGGACATATTTCACATTACTTTAAAATTTGGGCTTTTCTCTTTGACATTTGGAATTATTTACCCCTTTGGCGATTCACTATGATGATAGTATTCAAAGATTTTCTTTCATCAATTAAAACCTTTAAATGAAAACTAGGCTGGGAAACTTTATGTTGGTTGTGTAAATGTTTTCATGCACCAAAAACTGCTTTATTGAGCAAACTTTTAAACTCGACTGAAAAGAAGAAAACCATCACACAATAAAGAAATGGGTTTGAGTAGCTTTGAATTCCAGCTACATTTACTTTTCGTTATATATTATTTTGAAAGCCTAATGGTAATTTGTACTTAAATCTATTTAGTGTATATGCTTGTACTTTTATAATGTATATTTGTTATTCAATCGCTGAGTCGATCTATTAAATAAAAAAGAAATATAAAAAAGGAGTCTGGGAATCAATCATTTAACAACAACCTAATTGTTTTTAAATTGATTTTTTCCTATGAACATTAACAATTATAAGAAACACAAGAGTAAATCAAAAAGTTCTTGAACCCCTTTCCTGTCTTATTGTGAAAGCTTGTCTGCGCCCGTGTACGTCTCTATTCTATTTAAGATACTGTGAGAGGATTTTATTTTTTATATTTGACTTAATTTCTTTTATATGTTTTTCGTTTTTCTTAGTCAAAGCATATGTAATATAAATAAATGTCAAGGGATTTTGTTTTATTTTTTGCAAGTTGCTGCACCTTATTTGATAATTTTACCTTAATAAAATGCTGTTAGATCTATAACAAATACAGAGTCTTGTTGTTAATGACCACAAGAAATGGTAAAGTAAACAATTACTCGTGCATTAACAATTACAATTGTATCTGTTAATTTCCTAAAAAAAAATAATAATAAAAAATATTTGTGCAACAGTTTTAATCTTTTATATATGATAGTTAACCGGTAACAGCTTGTGTAAAATTAGCTGAAGATGAAACAAGTGACAGACATTTGATTGGTTTTAAATTTAGTAAACGACTTTATCTTTTGGTTATTCCAAATGTGTCGCAACACTGGTGAGAGAAGCAGATAAGCATTTTTCTGTGGAAACAAAGCAACAAAAATTAATTTACAGATAATTTTCAAATGTACGGAATTAATGGTAAAATGCTAAAATGGTTTGAAAGTTATTTAAGCAATAGAACACAACAAGTCAAGTACAGAAATCTGCTCTCTTCCATTGGTTACGTAAAAGCTGGAGTCCCTCAGGGATCTGTACTTGGACCACTCTTATTTTTGATATATGTAAATGACGTTGCTCAAAATATGATATTTGTAGATTATATGCTGATGATAATTCTTTACAACAATGTTCAGATAATATTAATCATGTTGAACAAAATCTTAATCATGATCTTAAAGTATTACATGAATGGTCGAAAAAATGGCTGTTGAAATTCAACCCACAGAAAACAAAAGCTGTATTTTTTCATTTGAAAGCTGTGCAACAATTTCCAAATCTAATTTTTGATAACTGTCAAAAAGAATATGTCACACAACATACGCATCTTGGGATACTTCTGCCTTCAAATTTGGGATGGTCTGATCATATTGATATCATTGTAAAGAAGGCTTACAAAAAACTTGGTTTACTGAAAAAACTAAAATTTAATGTGTCAAGGGATATTTTGTCCCAGATGTATATTTCTTTTATCAGACCACAACTGGAATATGCAGTTGAAGTTTGGTCGGGGTGTACAACGGCAGACATAGAAAAGCTTGAGAAAGTTCAATTATTTGCTGCTAGAATTGTAACAGGTCTTACACTTATTGCTTATAAAAATTCACTTTATCTGGAAACTGGATGGGAACCATTGGAAAATAGAAGAAATCGAACAAATCTAATAACAATGTACAAAATATACAACAAAATTGTACCTACTTATATTCAAAATATAATACCTGATATTAGAGGCAACATTTCACAATACTCTACTAGAAATTCCTCCAATTATTCTTTGCCAAAATGCAGATTAGAATTATTCAATAAATCCTTTATTTCAGATACTGTTAGAAAGTGGAATGCAATTAAAATTAACATAAGGGAGGCAACTTCTATGAAAAGTTTTTTAAAAATGCTTGTCAAGCAATATTGTAAAACCTCCGAAGTATTTTTCTTTTGGTAAAAGATTTTGGAATATTATTCACACAATGTTAAGATATAATTGTATTTTAGATTCTGACCTATTTCGCTGTAATTTAATTGACAGTCCGAATTGCTCATGTGGACAAATAGAGGATTCCTATCATTTGTTTTTTGTTTGTAGAAAATATGCAACAGCAAGATATTCTCTAATGAATAATTTATTATCATTCAATAATTTGTACATTTTATATGTCCATTTGATGTTATGGGGTGTTGATTCATTCTCTGATCAACAAAATGTAGAAATTTTTAAAGTTATTCATACCTTTTTAAAAGAGTGTGGTCGGTTCTCTGAAAAAATCTTAATTTCTTGTATATATAGTATTGTGTTCTGGTATCAAGAGTTTACTGTCTTTGACACTACTAATTGTTACTGAAAATAATTGTTCTTTATTTTGGCAATATTATAAAATTTTGTATAAGGAGAAGACTATCTAAGTTGTTGTAGAACTTGTGTCTTATCCTTTTGGCTTTAATTGTCAATAAAATATGTTCAATTCAAATACAGATAATCTTTTTTAAGCATACAAATAAATCCACCTGATGAAAATAAATGCATCCATAATATCCACTTTGCCGTAGCATATTTTGATTTAATAATCAACATTGCTGATTATCATTATATCATATTCTAACCTAATCTTTGAATAAAAGATGAAAAGTCATAGTCCGTATGTTTAACCTGGTACCAAGTAACTAGGCTTTGTTTTCCAACTTAGTATTTAAATCAAAATTATGAGCTTAGATGTACAGTGATATTCCGTAATAAACATAGTAGTGCAGTTTGCAAGTGCAGACGTACTGATTTATCTGAGTTTCTTTATGTGCAGTTTGATTTTGAAAAAAAAATTCAATTGAGATCAGTTTATTTCTTTATTTCATTTTTTTTTTTTGGCATAAGGCATTAAAAAATCATTAATAATGTGAGTTTTGCGGACCATGGTCTTCTACTTGTCTTGCCTGCCCAAACGGTCCTCTTGAAAATTTAAGCATTAAACGTTTAAGGGGTCAAGTCTTCAGTGTGTGCAAAGAAGATGACAAATGCGTATTTCTTTTCACACATCATTGCACTTATGAGACGATAACATTTAAAAAAAAAATAAGTACATTTTAGCACTCTCTTTTGATTGGTTTGTACCACAGAAATATGAACTTTACGTGAAACTTTAACCTTTTGATTTCCCCGATTTTTATCGAGACGTCACCACGTGCCGTAGGATCACTGCAAATTTATACTCGATACATAGTACTATTCAGCAGTAAGAGATCGTTTTAATATGTTCTTATGCGTTTCCACTCAAACGAACTTAAATAATTCATAAAAATAAATAACATCACGTATATAGATACAGAAGCCTCTCGTAAGTGCAGTTTAATTACACACAATAATACAAATACAACTTTACATCTCCACAACTCTTAAATCTACAAAACAAAAACGTATAATTAATAAAAACCAAGATAATGTTTGTGACAGCGGGTGGGCGAGGGAATGTCTGACTGCACTGTTTGAGAGAGAGTCTTCGAATGGCGTTAACCTTTAGCACACGGTAATGCGTGCATGCTTCAGTAGAATACCTGTAGAATAGGTATTCTATAAATACATTATTCTATAAATACATTAACCAATCCGATCGATTATCTATTTTAAACAACACTTGGTAAACACGTGTACGATAGATACACGTGTTGTGAAACCTTCAATAAATACATTTTGTACCAATACCTGCTGCGACACGGGACTTCGGTTTAATGTCTCAACCGTAAGACCGGTCTCCACTGTCCTGAATTGGATCCAGTCCCCACCTGCTTACTCTAAGCGCTCCAAAAACTTAGCCACGACAGCTGCTCCGGTTTGAATTGCG